GTTTGTGTGGGACGACTACGCGGTGGAGGTGCGTCTGAACGACTACCTGGACATCGTGTGCCCGCATTACCCCGAGGGCGAGGTGCCGCAGGTGGATGCAGAGCGCTACGTCCTCTACATGGTGGAGCGCGAGGACTACGACAGCTGCAAGCCCCAGAGCTACGACCAGATGAGGTGGGAGTGCGGACACCCCTTCGCCCCCCACGCCCCCGAGAAGTTCTCCGAGAAGTTCCAGCGCTTCACCCCCTTCACGCTGGGAAAGGAGTTTCGACAAGGAGAAAGTTATTATTATATCTGTGAGTAAATGTGTTTGTTTTTTAACTATATGCTTTTGTTTGGATTGGGTCGTAGTGTGTTTGAGAGTCGACTAATCACCAATAGGAGCATCCTTTACAATATTGTTGATTATTTTTTCCCCAACGACTGAAAAATGGGTAGATTAATTATACGATTTAATTTTTTTTGTTAGCATTTTCTTAAGTCTAAATGTCAATACCATTGGTCTCCTGTCCTGACTTCTAACCCGTTCTCTAGACCCATTCTTTCTAAAAAAATGAATAATAATATCAATATAATCCATGTATGTAGCCATAGAACTAAATTCATCTATTGTTTATATTATTCTATATATTTACTTTAGTTTTTCAGCCTCATCTGATTTGAATCTTCTCTCATGAATATATTTAATCCAAAAACAATTCTATCAAAACTAAAAAGTAGTCCAAATGTTTTTTTAAATGGTCTGGAATCTGAAACCCAGCAATGAATGAGTGACAGACGTGCTATAGGGCTGCAGTATGTGTCCGATGTTAAAGGTATACGGGAGGATTTTCTACTTCCGGGTGGATTGTCAAGACTATTGGTCCTCCAAACTGTCAATCATTCTGGTGAAACATGCTCGTCCAATACGACCAGAGAGTGGGAAAAAAATCCAAAAATTTTGGAAAATCCTCCTATAAACCTTTAATAATGAATCAACATAGAAAGAAAACAATTAATACATTTATTTTAAGTTAATCCATGTATATCTAAGTAAATATATGTGTTGGAGGCTTTGGTATTTTCTTTGATGAAACCCCAACAAACACTTTTTAAAACTGTCCATTACAGTGTAGGATTAGATTTAAACAGTACCTTTCACATCCAAGACAAATGTTGAATTTGTTTCATTTCCATATCTTGGTTTTGGGCATTCTCTGCATTTTACCCGAGTTCATAAAACCAAATGTGGCAATTTCTCAAACTTAAATGAATAAAACCTTTGCCAAAAACAAGAAGCGCTTATAACCGTGTTAGGGCAGTAATGGCAGGTGCCGAGCTTAACCAGGCCTGTAATTAGGTCAGAGTGAGGTGCTTGTTGATTTGTCGGGACATGATAGCACTTGTTGGCGCGCTCCGAGGCCGTTAGACTCTGGTCCCGGTTTTTGGCGAGCGCTTTGGTGTTTCCTCTGCCAACGCCACGGCCGCAGAAGTGAGCAGCGCCGTCTATTAGGGACGCAGCAGGACAGAGGACACTCTCGGGCACAGATGGTCCTCCTGAATCTTTGTCCCGCCGTCTGCCGCCGCCAAGTGCCGGTGCTGGATTAAGGGGCCGGGTGCGGGATAAGTGCATTAGTCTGAGATTTTAACATGTTGTTTTCTCCTTCGCAGCCAAACCCTTGCATCATCACGGACAGGACTGTCTGCGACTGCGGGTGGACGTCGTGGCAACGGACGGTGAGTGTCTCGTGTTGATGATGTCATAGACGGAGACCCAATCCACTGTATTTACACATATACATTTAGTATGTTTTATAAAGCACGTTTGCAAAGTGCTGCACAGATAAAAGTAAGATGTTTAAATATACAAAATAAACAATAAAAAAAATATTCAATAAAAAAAAATAATAATAATTAAATAGAAATAAAAATAATTTAAATAAGATAAAAAAAACAAGAAAAATAAAAAATAAAACAATTAAAATAGCTAAAATAAACTGTAAACAATTTGTTATATACCCAGACTCAAAATCACAATATGGGTTCATGAGCAGAGGTGGTAAGTGACTTTTTTTCACTTGAAGCGGTGATAATTCATTTTTAAAGCTTGTCCAATAAAATGTAAACCTTGTCATGAAATCCACGAACTATTCCTGTCACTCAAAAGTTGTTTTTATATCATTTCATTTTTGGCCACTGTCACATCTATTTCTGACTGAAAAGTGAAAAAGAGAGAACCTCCCTCTCTCAGCCAATCAGATCTCAGCCAATCAGATCTCAGCTCATAGAGAAGTGACGGACATGGCTTTTTCTTACATCTTCTTTGAGATGAATATTGTTGCGGTCTGATCGGTTCCTAAAATACATTAAACTATTATTTATGAAGCAAAAAGTTAGGTCCCCCTGCTTTAGGAAACTGTACTTCACCTGATTATTGACCAGAAGTTAAAAAGTAATTTTTCTGACAACATTTTAATTTTAACTTTGAAACCCAAATATTTTCACTTTCTACATTTAAAAAACAGCTTCATTACTTTAAAAACATTTGCAGAAGACTACACAAGACATAACGAAGCTGCTTTTTTAATCTCACAGTGAAGAAATACACATGTCACATTGGCACATACAGAATCACAGGGTGGGCAAAAAGACAGGAAGTGTAGAAAACATGTTAAAAATGTTAAAATAAATTATCTTTTGTGCACGATACATTATGATTAAGTGACTACAGCAGTGCGGTTTGATCATCGCTGGATCAAAACTCTTTTAGCATCAAACAAAACCTCTCTTACTAATCCAGATTCACAGACACTGCCAAATACTTAACATTTGGCAAAACAACATTCTCCTTGATGAATTGCACTAATCAAACGGAGAAGTTTAGGAAGACTTATTAAAACATCTCAAAACATCTGTGTAGAAAGAGCGTGAATGTTTTTGTGCCTCCGTTATTCCCCACTTTATCCTTCACCACGACACGTTTCACGGCGCTCAGGTTAAGTAGAGTCACATGCTGCTTTGTTTCCCCCCAGGCTCCAAAGAGGCTCGAGTGGCCAAAGTCAGCCCGGGCGGGACAGCAGCAGCCGGGGCAGGGGGCGGCGTCCACAACCCCTCCAACAGACTGCCTGCAGGTTTGTGGCCCAAGATCAAGCCCTGTCTGATCTCCCTCGGCTCATTCTGGACCCTAAACGTGATCCTGAGACTATCTACTTATCGGTGATCCATGGTCCAATAATTCGGCATTTACCAAGTCTGAAAAAGTTGCATTTGGGCAGAAAAGAGTCGGGATGTGTTTGTTTGGGAAGTTCGTAGCATAAGATTTGGATTATAACATGGACAGAGCTCAAAACAGCCCAGAGTCGCTGCACGTGTGACCGACGTGTTTGTAGCCCGGGCCTTAAAATCATTGACTGTAAATATTAACGGATGTAGTGAGGCCTATCTCTCAGAATGGCCGCCGGCAGCCCCTCCCTCAGGAAAATGTGGAAAACCGCATTTGCGAAGGCATTATCTGCACGAGCCCCATTCATTTAACAAGTGCATTCAAAAGTCCACAGCGGCTAAACTAGACTGGTCCAGAAAAAATACTAGCCTCAGCATTGACAGCATCTGGAACATATTTTTTAGTCAAGAGCAATTTTTTGACCGTCCTGAAAAGCTATTTTTTAAAGGAAAAAAGGCATCATAAGAATTCATTGGGTACTTCTGTTTCCGGGTACACCCCCACCTACAAGTAGCCAGATTACAGACATGTCAGCGCACAAGCTCATGGACCTTTTTGAGCCAGAACCCGCCCACACTGATTAAAATATAAATACTACAGATATGTCGACTTCTCGCCGTGATACTTACACATATTTTTCTTGTTTTTATTCAAGCAGACGACCCGGTGGTGATCTTCCCGGACGTGCAGAAAAGCGTTCGGACCAACGCGGCCATCGCAACAACGTCGCTGTCCGCCGTCTCCACACTCGTTCCCTTCTCATTATTACTACTGCTCCTACACTGAGACAAAGACACTGCTGTTTACAGACTTATTCAGGGACTCACTATGAAGACATGAAGTTCGGAGGGGATTAAACCACTGACTTAAAAACAAGATGGCGGTTTTGCCTTTGCCCAGTGCTGGTCACGTGGGAGCCGAGCGGTCACGGAGTTTGGAAAAGCTACGAAACTGGAAGACAAGACAAGGCTATTCTTGTGAAAGTGACAGTAGTTTCTGACAGAGACATTTATTTTTAGTTTTTCCAAGATGGCCGACAAACACGCAGCTTATTCTGGTTTGGATCCAAAAACCGGTTCACGTTTCCACCCTTGTGAATTGCGTATTTGGTTGTGCTGTTCGTGTAAAACTATCGACATCTCCCGGTGTTTTTCCAGACGTAGCAAAGGGATTTGGTCGTGTACCTTTGCTGTAGCTCCACTCGAGTCCTCTCTGCCTCGAGCGGTGACGTCAACCGCTTTGTGCCACAGTGCGTTTTTGTGTACATTTCTGTGAAGATAATTTATAACAGCTGTTTTACTGTAAATAGTAAGCTTTCTTAAAAAAAAATGTTTACTGGTTTTCCGCCCTTGTATATGTTTGCAAGGAGGAAAAATGTGGCGCGGTTTTGTTTTGCTGCCAAAAAAAGCAAATACGGCATTGATGTGAGAGGCGGGACTTCTCATATTGCTGGAGTTTTGCCATGTTTTGCAAAAAAGAAACTGGCTCATGGATGATCTTGAAGCTAACCCGTGTGTGCTACGGTGCTCTCTGACCCATTCTTATGTTCACAAAATCAAGCTAAATCAGATGTTGTTTTGTCAAGGACTATATTTGGACGCGGCTTCGGTCCAAGTTGCCGAGCACAGCACAGCACCGCACAGCACCACACAGCACCACACCACACTGACAGACACACAGTGGACGACTACCATTGTTTTTTAAATCATGAATTCTTGTTACTTTTGTACATGTGTAATTAAGATTGTATATTATGTACATAGCTTACATAAGATTATATGATACTGTTTGAAAAATATGCTAAATGTGAAATTTTCATGTGAAATAAAAGATATTTTTGGAAACTCAAAATGGCCGACTTTTTGTGGTTAGATAAACATGTGGGATTTTAAGATTAAGAGATGTGTTTTTGTCCCACTGTGAGGAAATTTCAGTGTTGCATCACCAGTTACAGAACAGGGTGGCATGGCGGCTGAGTGGTTAGCGCTTTTTCACCTCAGCTAGAAGGTTTTAGGTTCGAATCCCAGTCGGAACAGGGTCTTTTTGGTATATTTGTCATTTAAAATCACAGCACAAGATACATAACAATAACTCTATGATAAAATGTTGTAAAATCTCTAGTTTTTGCATAATAAAGTTAGAAATTAGAGGGTGTTTTGGGTGATTTTAGCTGTAAGAAGAACTCACCCATTTCTGCTTTTGAGAATGAAGTCTTTTATAACAGCCGAATGAATGGGAACTAGGCCAAGGTTAGCAAGTACAGAAAGCAACAACACAGATAATGCTATAATCATTTATCCAGTGGGGTATTCATTTTTCCTTGGCAAGAGTATTTCTACTGCCTGAAGCAAAAGTACAGAACATTTGGAAGAATGGACTCAGGGTCTGCGATCCCTCCACAACAAGCGGGAATAATGAAGCTGGAGCTCGATACATGAAAATGAACAGAGACTTTCCAATCTGGTTTTGTATTTGCCTAAGTTAGAAAGTCCATGTAAAGTTTGAGAAATGAGGAGAATTGTAACTTGATCCAGCGAACTCACCCACAGGTCTTTAAAGAAGTTTATCTCATTTTAGTTTTATTCAAGACTAGAGTTTGTATGTTAGTAATACTTATTTATACAATGTTTTTGTTTTTGAGTCACAAAGAGATTTTTAGTTGGCGTTCCACACAGTAACGGAGGCAAAGTCACAAACAGGAGAAACAGGACGGACGAACTTTACAAAACCGTTGAAATCGCCGACACAGATCAGAGAATCAAACAAACCCAAAGAATAGAGAACGTATGGTATTAGTCCATAGGCAGAGACCAATGTCCAGAAGTGTTGATAAGAGGAAACCGGAGCTCCTGGAGGATTCCTACACTGACGTGGGAAGAACATGCAAACTTAAGGGGGGACAGTGGCTTAGTTGGTAGAGCATTGGCCTTTGAGCCTGAAGGTTGTGGGTTCGAGCCCATCACAAGACCTTCTCCACCAACTCCCACTGATGTCTGCTGTTGTTGTTTCCTTGGGCAAGACACTTAACCTCTGGGAACAGCAGGTGCCACAGTGGGGCAATGGTTGGTGGTGGTGGGAGGGGCCGATGGCACAAAATGGTGGCCTCGCTTCTGTCAGTGTGCCCCAGGGCAGCTGTGGCTACAGTAGTAGTTATCACCACCGTGTTTGGAGAGAATGAATAACGACATGTGAAGAGACTTTGAGTTTCCAGAAAAGCGCTATAAAAAAAACCGAGGCATCATATTTATATAAAGTCCACACAGAATGTCTGGAAGTGGATTTTAACCCAAAACCATCTTCCCAGAACACAAAGCAGGCTAGTATGTGTGCATGTGTGTGTGTGTACATGTGTTTGTGTGTGTACATGTGTTTGTGTGTGTGCATGTGTGTGTGTGTGTACAGGGGCTGAGGGCACATAGCGGTTGCCTCACTTCTGTCACTCTGCCTCCCATGCGTTCCAATGTGGGGGCAGCATTTCAGATTTAGGCAGCTAAAATCTGGAACCGTTTTCCTGAAAATGTGAGACAGGCTTCATCTTGACAATGTTAAAATCCAGGCTTAGCTGTGCAAAAAAAGTGAAGAATTTTATCTCCTCGTTTTAATGCGTGTGATCATGTATGCTTATAGCTCTAACCCTAACCTTTGTGTTGTGTTGTCTGTTGTGCAAAAATGTGTGTTTTTTTCATATGCAGGAAACTGAATCTGTTTCTGAACATATCTTACACAATGACCATGATCCATTATACATTGAAGAAGTTGCATTCCGCCACATTGCTCCCAAAAAAGTAGCTGACAGAGAGGGAAAGTTTTGACCGCTGCTTAAGAGACACTCCAAAACTCCCAGAGTGCATTAGTGAGTCGCTGGAGTGAGATAAGTTATACAGTCCTTGCTCCGCTGGATTAAAATGCAACACAAATGCTTCGGTAAAAGACCTAGATTCACTCAGAGGAACAGCACTGTCAGCCTTATCCTTTTTGGCTCAGATCCCGGTCTTGTTTGTTCCGGGCTCCGATACCTTCACCTTTATCTCCCTATTGTCGCCAAACAAGTCCCACCATTGTTGCCGACGCTGTCCTCTTTCTTCATCCAGTCTTTGTGATCCCAGGGGATTGAATTGCCGTGACCGTAAAAACAGCTGTAACGCCAAATTGTGGTGCCAGGCCCGATTCACACAACTCCTCAGTGTTTTCTAAAGGCAGGGGTCGTAAATTTGGGCTTGGGGACAGGAGCTCTTAACCTGCCTGACCCCAGACAAAGAGAGGCCTGCGTCACAAACACACAGATATATACACTTCTGCTGGTCGTTCAGCGGGGAAGCCAGGTTTGAGTAAATGTGAGAGGTTGGTGTGAAAGGGTGAGCCCCCGCTGTAAATGTGAAGTGCTGTTCTGACTGAAACCAAGTCAACAACGGAGGCACAAGAGAGACGTGTTTGGAAATAAAGGGCTAAAAACGACCGACGGAGCAAAGCAAATAGGGAAAGGGTGTCTTGAAATGAATGAAACCTTTATTGGGGAATTTGTCTTGCACACAAAGAACGTAAAGAAGCTAAAAGACAGACATAAAACCCAAGGTATATCACAGGAGACACTCGGTCACAGTCCATATGTCAGAGACGGCAATATATACAGTATAGTATTTAATATATATATAGTTATTGACAGGGGTGCACTGATCCAGCTTTACAACTCTGGTTCCAATCCAGATCCCGATACTTCTGCTTCATCATCCGGCAATACCCGATTTAAACCAATACCAGTGAGGAGCTGCTGTTAGCATTTGTATCTCATTTACATTTGTGCAATCAATCATACTTAATCATACTTAATTATACTGACAATGCATTTTATTATTAAGCGCCTTTCCAAACACACATGGTCACTTTACAACATAGTCACAGCAATACAAACATTTATGATACACAAAACAAAGGATGATGCTACTTTCAGATTGTAGTTCTTGCAGGACTGTAGCTGCTGCTCTTTACTCTGCGGTGATGTGGCCGGCAGTGTATGTATTGTTATTTTGTTAGAGCTCCCCCTGGTGTGCAGGAAGGGAAAGCAGATAGAGCTGACACAGGGGAGATGCAAGTGCGAGATGCCCCAATGAGGAAGAATTCAGTTCCAAGCTTCAGGTAGATACAGTGACTCAAAGGGTGATCTAAATGGTTGAGGAAACACTTCAACATTAAATCATGTCATGACCAGTTAAAACTGCCGTCTTTGTTCAGCTGTATTAGCTAGTAGCATGTTAGCAGTAACATGAATACCTGCGGCTTGTATGTGGACAAAATGTACTTTCTTTTCCAATTGAGTTGGTACAGTCTGAATAAAAGGTGAATCTACTGTGCATGGCATTCTGGGCTAATATCAGCTCTATCAGTTATTCCATCAAAATTACATCTTCCCCTCAATCCAGCCCCTCACTGATCCTCCTGCAGGTGCTGAGTCCACAGGCAAATGGCTGCTCTGTCGGTGAGAGCATAGCCTTGATCTTTCAGTGGGGGCTTCAGACAAAGTGGGGTTTAGTGTCTTGCCCAGGGACCCATCGACAGCAGACATCAATGGGAGTCGGTGGAGTAGGTTTCGTGATGGGCTTGGAACCACAACCTTCAGGCTCAAAGGCCAATGCTCTACCAACTGAACCACTGTCGCCTCAAACAGATTCCAGATCCAACCAAATCCAAGCCAGTATCGTATCGGTGCATCTGTAGTTGTTGTGCATTCTCCTCTTGCTCCCTACATGAGGCGTCACATTCTTTTGTCCAGATGAAAAAGGTCTGTTTCA